GTGAAATTCATCCCATCACTCACAGCCACTGCAGTTGTCGACCGCCAACCGGCTGGCTTAACCACCTATCTTAGTCTTAGTTCTCTTTTTTTTTTCTAAATTCTCCCCCCGGATTTTTTTTCTGCCGTAACACCATCATCTTCAACTTCATTCCCCCTTCTTTCCCTACCCCTCCCCTGGTGGCGTTGATCACTGCTAGGATCAATCACTCTTCATCATGGCGGACGGTTTGGATTATTTGGCTCCCGACTTTGACCTGAATTCGCTCACTGTTCCTCGTCTTCGGTCCATCCTCGTTAGCCACGATGTTCCCTATCCAGCCTCAGCCAAGAAGGCTCAACTCATCAGCATTCTTGAGACAGAAGTTTTGCCTCAGGCCAAGAAGCTTCTGCGCGAACGAGAAAGGGTGAGGAGAACCAGTGAAGGAATTACGGATATGGGTAGTCGCGCCTCATCAGTCGTGAGCGATTACAACGATCAACACCATGAATCTGGCAGAGAGTCGATGCCTCCCCCACCTACTCCTTCCACGGTTTCGACCGCGACGGGCGGTCGGCGCGCACGCTCCAAATTGAGCACGAGAGCATCGACGGTCGACACGGAGGATGCCCACGTATCAGCCACGCCATCCACTAGCTCTCGAAGAACGGTCCCCCGGTCGACCAGCAAACGCTATCGCGCGTCCGATACCGAATCGCACGACGACATGACGGCAACCCCGGTCCCGTTCAACATGGCTACTCCCCGAAAGTCGACGACCCGCAAACCACGAAAAAGTGAGATGACTCCTGCTGCCGAGCCACAACCCGAACCCGAGCCTGAGCCGAAGACCCCCTTCTCAGCAATTAAGTTGGAACCCAAGGACGAGAGTGTCTTCACCGATGACAACCCATTCCAAAGTGGATCGCCAGCCCGGTGGGAGCACCGGAGCCCGAGAACTTCGAGTGTTGGGCGGAAGAGCGCCTCGCGATTCTCACTGAACTCCCCTGCTGCCAGCAACGGTCTACGGCCTAGGAGGTCCATGACGCCAGTGGACATGAATGCTGACTATGGTTTTACCCCGTCAAAGCGATCTTCGTTCGAGTTCCCCGTGCCTAAGCCTAGATCTCCTCAACAGTCCCTGGAGGCGGTGGAGAAGTATGAGGATAGCGACAGCGAGGTCAGTGCTGGCGAAGAATTCACGCCCGAGGAGCAGTTGGCGCTTGAGGAGGACCGGGCGCACTTGATGTATCCGCCAAGCGCCCCCAGCACCCGGCCCCAGCAAGCGCGGACAGCAAACCGTGCTGCGCCTTGGATCATTATATTAGCCCTTGTCGCCGGTTTTGGTGCTTGGTGGCGCAAGGAGAAGATTGAGATTGGATTCTGCGGTATAGGCAAGCCCACCTGGTCATTGGCAGACACCCGGGTTCCTGAATGGGCCAACTTTCTCGAGCCGCAGTGCGAACCGTGTCCTCCCCATGCTTTCTGTTACCCAAACTTTGAGGCTCGCTGTGAGCATGACTTTATCCTCAAGGCACACCCTCTGTCGCTAGGTGGACTGGTACCTCTTGCCCCGACGTGCGAAGCCGACAGTGAGAAGGCACGCCGAGTCAAAGCCGTTGCCGACAGAGCCCTCGAAACTCTCCGGGACCGTCGGGCCAAGTGGGAGTGTGGCGAAATTGTGCACGGTGACCAAGGAGAAAAGGGTCCTGAGATCAGTGAAACCGAGCTGAAGCAAGAGGTCGGAAAAAAACGCCGCAAGGGGATGAGTGACGCGGAGTTTGATGACTTGTGGAAGGGAGCCTTAGGTGAGGTGGTTGGCAAAGAAGAAGTCGTCACTCGAGTCCAACAGTGAGTAGTTCCTGGTCTCCTTATAATTCCAGCCTGTTCGCGACACCCTGGCCTTCCCTCTGGCACCCTCCCAAGGATTCGGATTCTGACTTGTATTGTGGAACTAACAGAGACACCCACACAATTACAGACCATCTTCTGTCCTCACCCTCACGTCCACCTCCGTCAGCCGGCTCCCCCTCACCTGCGCATTCCGCCGCTACGTCCGACTCTCTCTCCTCGCGTATCGACTTCCTATTTCGGTTCTAACTCTCGCGGTATGCTTGACACTTTATGTCCGCTCCAAAATCAGGGCTCGCCGCTCGGATATGGCCCGGGTCCCTGAACTTGTGGCCACTACGCTCGATCGCCTCGCGACACAGGCGGCTTTACATGCTCGCGGTGCGGCCCGAGAGCCCTACATTCCCATTGGACAGTTGCGTGATGATGTCCTCCGGTCCGAGCTGCGCGGAAGTCGGCGCGAGGGGCTCTGGAAGCGCGTGCGCAGTATCGTTGAAGGCAACGCCAACGTCCGAGCTGCGGTGCGGGAGGGTCGCGGAGGAGATGTTGCCCGTGTGTGGGAATGGATCGGGGGGATTGGCAGCGTCCGCAACGAGATTGAAAGTAGCGGCAACAGCACGGGCCGGGATGTGCACAAAATGCATTTCTCGCCTTCATCGCCCGAGGACGGTGGTCGTCCCTTGGCTGCTAGTCAGGATGCTACTCCGGTCCCTCGAAAATGGGACGAAGGCCGGCCCATCTACTGAGACCGTCCTTTCTTACATGAATGACGTCCCGAGAAAGTTGGAAACACTATGAGATCTTCTTCTCCTTAACGTGCGCGGTTCGCTTCCTGCATATTTTGAAACTTCTTATCTTTATTTCGTTTAGTCGGGTAGCTAGCTGGTCAACATTCCGTGATTCCCCAGGTTGACTGTATTATCCAAGATCAGTCTCTTTTGCACCTAAAGTGTGTGGTGTGTGGTGTGTGGTGTGTGTTTGGTGTTGTATGTGAACGAGAGTGCACTACTAGGACTCAACTCTCGACTCCTCGAGTAGTACCCGTAACGGGACGGACTCGGGAGTACGGTAAAACCACTAAGTACGGAGTAGACAGGAGTTAACCTGATTTAGTCAAGTGAGCTATGCCTTGCCGGGTCTAGCGGAGAAAGACCGGAAGATTCCCCGTCCAAATCTTCCGATGAAGATACCCATGGGCCCTTACTAGGTAGTTACCTAGTAGTTACTTACTACACACATACGTACCCTGTATTCATTCATACTCCCTTCAGGCTTCAGCTCAACGTCCCATTCTCCACTCGTTTGCAACGACCTCTTTTTTTCTTTTTTTTTTTTCTTTTCTTTTTTTCCTTTTCGGACGGCCAGGCTTCGACATACTGGTTCTCGGATCGTATGCGATGCGGGCCGAAGGTGTGACTTTGAGCCGCTGGGTACAGACAAACTAACGGAGTGCGTACAGGGCAGCCCTCCAGCGCTACGGACAGAACTCCTGCTGTATGTACCGAGTCAGACAGGCCCTGGTGGGCAGCATGGTGGAACTAGCCTGGATCGGATTCGGACCCAGCAGTCGTTCACATACCTACTTCAACTGGGCCACAGGGGGGAAGGCTGGTTCCATCCGTTCCCCCTCGCAGTATCAATCCGTTGCTGCTGTCCAAGGAAACCATATGGATACTTTTTCCGGGGCAGTCCTGCACTCGAATTCGCTAAGAGCGGCACAGCATCACGGCGTCACAGCCCGTGATTTTGACAAGTACGGTAGTCGTCCTCTCCCTTACTCAATACCTAAGCATTATACCATACTGCCCGGAGAAAAGACCCGTGCAATCAGCTCGGTCGGCAAGGCAGACAAGCGACGTCATGCATGTCTGTCTGTCGTGACGGCAAGAATGCAAATTCAGTATGGTTCGGTACTTTCTGCACTTTCTGCACTTTCTGCACTTTCAGCTGGAACGAGACCAGAAAGAGATCCCCTCCCGCGGCCGAGAATTCTGGTGATAGTGCGGTGGACCTGCAATGTCACGGGCCCAATCGCAATCGAACCAGAGCCTGGCCAGATGGCTGCTTCGAGTCGAGGAACTGACCCAGGACTGAGACGGCATACACAGTCTGGCTCTCGTGTGAGGTTTTGCTAATCGCCCCCCTCCCATGACCGATAGAGCCTTGTTTGTCCTCACTATCGTCGTGGTCTCGTCATCTGCACGTCAAACTCAAGTTGCAACTACCAAAAGTTGCAACTACCACCTGCCCACTGGATTCCCCCATTTTAACTTTAAGCCCAATCCCTTCCTGCCGGTAGTTGTCCCTTGACGAGGACCCTCTGGTACCTGGGAAGTGTCAGAGAGAAGGAGAGGAGAGAATCGATGGCTCACACCGGTTCATTCATAACAAGCGGTCGAGTGCGGCCCCTCCTCAGCGCCCCCCCCCCCCCCTACCTACCTACCCCCCTACCTTCCACTCTTACCTTTCCTTGCTCTGCCCATCAGAGGCCCAACTTAGAGGCCGCAGCTGCCACAGAACCAGTCCAAGTATCTGCACGCTTTTGTGGCTTCCAAGTTCCCAATGTTCTTTCGGGTTGAATTGGAAGAGGGATTAGACCCGGTTGATGCGTAGATATCCTAAATGCCGCCTTTCAAGGCCTGACGATTTCGAGTTTGACTGCCTTCCCCGTCTTGGTCAAGTTTGACTTTCGGTGCACTCCTGATTGCGCCCCATTAGGCTCCCGGGAGGGGCTTTTGGCGTCTGACATTGCATTTATGTGTGTTTCCTTTTCTCCCGATGCTGGCTTGGCTGAGTCGACCTCATCCACACACCTGTGCTCATTCTTCCCCCTAGCTTCTTAATCAAGTGCAGCAGGGCAGCAGATTGCTGTACTGAGAGGTCTTAAATCGTCTTGATCGAGCATGACCCTTTCCTCTGTACTGTCATAGATGTGCCTCCCCAGGAGGAGTATGATCGGTTGGTCTTCTTTTCTTTCCCACGATCCACCCTAGTTTATTTGTCCCTTCAAGGTTCCTCTTTCACCTTTCCCTTTTCGCCTCGAGTCCGATCCTCCGTTGTTTGCTTTACCCCCGTTTCTGGTCGTCTTGCACGTCCGGGTTGAAGCATGTCGGAACACGGTGCCACGTCCTATCGTTCTATCGCGCCCAAGGCAGCCAAGGAAGATGAGGCTCGAGACCCTCCCCCGGCTCCCGAGAGTGGAAAGACACGGCGAGCGTCCACCGCGTGCCTTGAGTGCCAGCGGCTGCGAACAAGGGTAAGGTACCGTTTTTATTTCGAACAAGAGTATCACTGTCAAAGCCCCTCTTGATGAACCTTCTGATCTCCATCCTGACTCGACCTCACCTCTGCAATAGTCTGACCTGGGAAACCCCGTTGCAGTGCACCATAAAAGATGCGGGAATACCTTGCACTCAGTGCCGTGTTCACGGTCGTTCTTGCCAGGTCAATGAGTCCAAGGACAAGCGCCGCAAGGCCGAACAAAAGCGCACCGAGGAACTCCTGAGGATCTATAAGAGCCTGGTAAATGGCTTGATGGAGACCATACGAATCGGAGACGGGGAGCTAACCCGGGAAGTCCTGTCTAGGATGAGGCAGCCCACCGGGCTCATCGAGCTTCAAGACCTCCTTAGCGAGTATGTGACGCTCTCTGTACCTGAGGAGGAGGAAGAGGAGGAGGGCGAGGACGAGGTGATGTATGAGCTCGAAAGCGACGAGTCCGATGAAGAGTCAGACACCAACTCTCCCGAGACCCCGCTGATAAACCAGCAAAACCTCTAGGGTTAGCCTAAGCTCGCTAGGAAGTCGCTCGTTTCATGCAGCAAACAGTTCTTGACATTGACGATGACGATGATGATGACGGCCGGCCTTCATTTCTGATCTTCACACCCCGACCACGGCCCATCGCACATGGCTTGCACTCCGGTGCCCTTGCGCGATGGAGACCCGCTACATTTGTTGGGCCTGGGCCTGCATCAAACAGCGAAGCAGGAAGCATCGGGGATGGACTTTTCCCGGTGCCTTGTCTTTTGTCCGTTGCGGCACGACCTGGAACAGAGAATGGGACACAACCAGGTTGGAAGAGTTGAACAGAATGGGAGGATCCCTGTTGCGAGGGAATTCGCTTGGAATATAGTGGGCGTGCGGGCATGTACTTTGAAGCGGGATTTGATGTTCTCATGTTGGTTGCCACCAGCTCCGTGCTTTTGCGCGGATAACCCGTGACGTTGCCACTTCCAGCTCTAATTGCGTTCTTCTCCCTAGAATGGAATCTACATTAATCGCTCGCACTGGTGCTAGTGTATGCAGTTCTCTGGTCTCTTTCTCATGCTCTAGTTCTACGTCGGTAGTTTTTCAATGACCGAATTATAGCTTTGTATTCTCTGCAGGGTCTTCGGATGATCTGGGACATCTGGGAAGATCAGTTGGACGTGCAGCGTGTCTTCATGGTATGCAGATAGACTCTGTACTGTACAGTCCATGCAGATCTAAGCTCTTTGGTTGATCTACAGTATATCTAGTATCTGGCAGTTATTCAGACTTTGCTTTATGCAGCTGACTCATCAACTGATCATGAGAGGCCATATTCTATCAGCATCTGCATCTGTACGAAATTTCCTTACTTGGCTGTCTCTGATGCCCTGTACTGTCTGTATTGTACTGTACGTTCAGTAGGGGGAATGCAGACCAATCGCAGCATCTCCGCGGAACTTGTCCCAGAGTTTGCAGATTGACAGCAAAGAGATGTTTGTTATGTTTGGGTCAAATTCATTCGCCCCCCCCCCCGCCTTTGGGAAATCCGGATTAGACTCACGATTTCCCCGCTCCTCTCGCCATCCCCGGAAATTTCTCCCTTCCACTAAACTGACACTGACTGCATCTCTCCATGATTACTACTTACTAGGTACCTTACCTACTACCTACGTATTCTTCTCCTCCTTTCTGTGGTACCACCTCTCTCGTTAATCCCACCCCCCCAGCCAACCAGCCTCGAAATCCGGGATATGTCCATATGGCTGCCACTGTTGTCGCTGCGGTGGACAGTTTGTCGTCATCGGAGGACCCAGTGCCACTAAGAGTCGTCAGTGACAGTCACCGTCGGGCTCGGTCTCGGGCTCGGTCTCGATCTAGGTCTCGATCTAGGTCTCGATCTAGTGCCAATGGCCGAGATATACTTGCTGCAAAACGACCGAGAAGGTCCTCCGAGTCCTCCTCATCTATACTCAAATCCAATACTCCCCGTCAAAAGATTACCCGGGCCTGCGATCATTGCAAGGAAAAGAAGACTCGCTGTACGGGAACCATTCCCTGCGTAAGGTGTACCCGGCTGTCGCTGGTATGCGAATACAATGCCGCCTACTCACGAGGTCTTCCCCCCGAGCCCCTGCCTGCTTCATCTGGCGAGCAGCTCGGAGACACTCATGCGGTCCACGGTCCGAGAACACGGCGCTCACATCCAATCGCACACTCATTGTCACGCATTGGATCGGCCTCTCACCAAGATCTGTATGATCGCAACCGCAGCAACAATAACAACAACAACAATAACAACATCTCCCAGCGCAACTCACCGGACCCCGCCGTGACCGATCTGGAAGGTAACTATCTAGGACCGGCCTCAGGCTTGTCCTTCCTCAATCGCGTCTGGCGTCGTTTGCATCAGGATGAGAAACGAGCGGTTCCCGATGCACTACAGAATGAATCTCCATCCAAGAATACCTCGGTGTTCAAGTTTGGGGATAAACCGTACGCGGCCCATCGCGACGTTGGATCCACACTGCCCCCGTATGAGAAGGCTCGGGAGCTGGTCAATACCTACTTCGACTTGTCCATGGTCACATATCGGTTCTTGCATCGCGGGAGTGTGGACCAATGGCTGCAGCAGGTGTACGAATGTAATCATTCTGTATCCAACCCCCCAACGGGGCGCATGGTAGCGCGAACAGCCATAATCTTCATGATATTCGCTGTGGGCACTTTGTACGAGGAGCAAGACCCAGATAGTCAGATAGATAGGCAGCATGGAAGGTGAGTGTGCTTTGCCTCCACGGCCTTGGACCATTGTGCAGGCTGATATAATCGCAGCGAGCAGTGGTATGCGGCCTCCAAATCTATGACCGCCCTGGAGTCTGGAGCTCCGCGTCTGGAATCAGTGCAGGCGCGACTGGGCCAATGTTTCTATCTACTCTCTTCCTCCAGGGCCAACGAGTGCTGGTACTCTTTCGGGACAGCCCTCCAGCTGGTGACGGCGCTGGGTTTGCACCGACGGCACCGAGGCAAAGTCCCCCGCGATGGCAATTCCTATCTCGACCGGGAGCTTCGGAAGCGCCTGTTCTGGAGCACTTATACTTTGGATAAATATCTAAGCGTCATGTTTGGGAGGCCTCGTCTGCTTCATGATGAGGACATTGATCAAGAGCTGCCCGATGAAGTCCACGATGAAGACATGTTGGAAGAATATTCATCGACCAGAACAGGGGTGGGAGATTGTATGATGACCGCCTCCCTTCTCCACTATAGGTATGCTTGGATCTGTTCCTTGGTGCTTGACAGTAGTGATTAACTGCATAGACTGGGTCGCATTCTTGGTGAGATCTCGCGACAGTTGTATACAGTCAGCCCTCTATCGCGAGATGCGTCGATTGAGACGGTTGCACGCCTCATGACGAAGCTTGAAGACTGGAAAGCAGCCACCCCTCCACTTTTCAATAGTGTTCGGGCCACGAGCCTGATCCCTCCACTATGTAGGCAGAGTCAGGTTCTGCAGTTGGCTTACTCACACGCGGTGATTCATACGACCCGGTCGTTTCTGCTGAACGATTTCACGGATCTGAACCGCACGCCACAGATCCCCCATCCTACGGTGACTCACCACGTGCTCAAGTGCATCGAGGCTGCCGAGCAAGCCATGGGGTTAGTGGATAGCTTAGCGAAACAAAGGGTCCTGATACAATCGTTCTGGTTTACCCACTACGTGTGCTTCTGCGCCATCATTGTGGTGTACATATATACAATCCAACAGCATCGATTATCTACTACCTTTGGGATATCCTCCCCCGGGATCGAGGATGTCCACCATCTCTACTCCCTTTTCAGCCTGGCGGAAACCTGCCAGCAGCATCTGGCAGAGGCCACCCGGAGGAATTCACCCAGTCGTCGCTACAGCATCATTCTGGAAGAGCTGAGGCGAGAAGTCCGTAGGCGGATTGGCTCATCCAGCGATACCTCCGAGGGGTTTCGCGCTGTCTTCTTTCAGGGCCAGAATCCGAGCACACTGGCGGAGCAAGGACAGTTGAGCCTGACTAGTATATACCCTTCTGGATCCCTGGAGGCTGGCTCCTATGATTATCCGAGTAGACTACCGCTGACCAATTTCACACCGTCGCCTTTGGAGTCGGAGATAGACCTGAGTTTTCTGGATAGCTTGGACGGTTCACTCCTGTGGACGCAGATTGACTCCTGGGTAAGTGATATCGTTGTGGTTGGATTTTGACCCGGAGAGACTGACTGAATGCTTCTTGCTTAGGCATTCACAAATCTGAGTAACGATCCGCCGACATTCCCTACGTAGCGACTCGATCATGATGTCTTGGGAATGCTGCATGCCTGGCCAGGCTCTTTTGACTGATCTAATGACATGAAATGACTACACGACTTGGGATGACTTGTATCTTATTGGACTCTCCTCTGGCGTATCCTTCCTCCCTGTGTTGTATTGCCCGCTCGTTCGAGTTGCCCCGGGCAGTTGTTTCGTTGTTGTAGATGCACGAGGCCGATAGTGAAGATCCACTGCCGTGGCTGGTTATGATTGTTACGATACATGTGATACGCAGTGCCGCCTCCATTGCTGGTACTAACAGACAGACAGACAGACTAAACTTGGTAATGGGTTCGGAATTGAGTTATTCGAAACCATGGAGTGCCATGCAAGCATGCAGTCGAGCTCGGAGAAATATCCGGGCTGGCCGGATAATCATGCCTCTCTCCACCAGCACCAGAGAGTGCATGACGGAACCCTTCTACCATGCGATTTAGGCGATTCGGATTGTTTGCAGGAACGATGCATATAAAAGCTGGAGTCTCATCAATCTGTTTAGAGACACATTCATCCTCATTGAGCGCAGAATCACTGCTTTCTTGACCAAAATGCTTTCTGCAATACTCCCGCAAGCGCCTCCTTTGCGGGCACCTCTCGCAAAGAACGATCATGTCCCCCTTCAAACATCACAGCGAGAGCCCTTGACTCTCGACGAGCTTGTTCGCCAACGTGCATCTCTGGGTGATTCACAGCCTGTCATTTCCTACCCACACAAAGGCATCGAGTATGCGGATTATCCCCTTCACCAACTCGATGTCTACGCCTTCCGCGTCGCCCAAGTATTGGCCAAAAGTATTCCGCCTCGGAGATCCTCCGCAGAGACTCCCACCGTCATGTCTCTACTCGGTCCTTCGGACCTCAACTACCTTGTCATGCTCCTGGCGCTGGCCAAACTCGGACATTCCGGTCTGCTGCTGTCCACGCGGATATCGATCGACGCCTATGTGTCCTTGCTGGAAAGAACACAGTCGAGGCACATTTTCATCCACTCATCCTTCGGAGATACAGCCGAAGAGATTAGGAAGCGCGTTCCTGACTTGCTCATCGATGGAATCCCGACTGAGGAATGCTACAACTTTCCAATCCCGGACGAAGAAATTGACACCAACCTGACGCCATCTCTGGATCCTGTTGCGGAGTCCAAACATATCGCATGGATTATCCACTCCAGTGGCTCGACGGGCCTCCCGAAGCCCATCTTCCACACCCAGCAAGCTGCCTTGAAGAATTATGCGGGTCATATGAACATGTGCGGGTTTGTGACGCTGCCGCTGTATCACAACCACGGGATCAGCTGCCTGTTCCGCACGATTCATGCCAGCAAGCAGTTGCATCTCTACAACGCTAAGTTGCCGCTAACGAGGCAGTATCTCCTCGATATCATGGAGTCTCATGACTTTGAGATCTTCTATGGTGTCCCCTATGCTCTCAAGCTGCTTGCGGAGACCCCCGAGGGTATCACTGCGCTTGCAAAGTTCAAGGCGGTTATGTTCGGCGGGTCAGCTTGTCCGGACTCACTGGGAAACCTCCTGGTTGAGAATGGAGTACATCTCATCAGTCACTATGGATCGTAAGTACTTCTTCTGTGGTTGATTAATGAAAGCGTGCTGACAAGGATCGCAGGACAGAGACCGGCCAGTTGATGATGTCTACAAGACCCCGAGATGACAAAGGGTGGGACTGGCTTCGTCCGTCGGAGACGGTGCAAGAGTATCTGCAATTCGAGGAGCGGTTCCCGGGGGTGTTCGAGCTTATTTGTCTGGACGGCTGGCCCTCGAAGGTCATGTCCAACCGCCCGGATGGCTCGTATGCCACCAAGGATCTGT